TTCCGCGGTTTATGAAACCTTCGTGCAAACCCTGACATTTTTAAAGTGTTTTAATTTGCAAGAATTTCTATTGCATTTATCGCCCCATGGAATTTAACCTACTTAGTACCTTACACGCAAGTTATAGGATAACTTACCAGTATAATCCTTGGGTAGGATATCGGAGTTGATACCAGCGGTGCATACCTCAATCTTCGCATACTCCGGCTTGGGGTCCCGTGCCAGATATGACACTAAGAAGATGATAAGCACGCCTTGCACCTGTCCTGTTTCCAGAGAATTATATCCATAATTAACCCACAAAGTAGGAAATAAAAAACGGGAGCACATTTTGGTGCGTCTCTTACAAGTTTGGTTCAAGGGCCAGCCAAAACATCCTCCGATTCGCGTGTCCAATTTTGATTCTTCAGTGCAATTATAGGGCTGCGCTTCCTAGCTTGTACATTGTGTGTCTTTTCACATCACCGCACAAAATATGCACCTGTAACATTCTTAGTAATTTCCCGATAAAGTGGAAGTAAATAAATAATCGATGATAATGCAGTGACACTGGTTCTAGATCTTTGTTAACAGGGGTTTTACTCTCAAGAATAAACCTGTAAAGTTGCGAGAGTATTTATGGGTTTCCGCAGTTCACATCCCTGAGGAGCTGAGTTGTGATGCTTGAAGCACACAGAGTGAAACTAATAGACGAAAGGGTGGTGTCTAGAGCAACAAGTTGACTGGCGTGAGTGAAAGCTCGTAATGCAGAACAAATTTTTATCTTAGTCGATGTTTCGCTCAGGGTCGTCAAGTCTACTTGATAGACTTATTAAAGCTCAGTCCCGAGTGAAACGTAGTTTAAACAAACTTGTACTCTGTAGTTCGTGTCTATTTAATAAAAGGAAAGATTACTGTGTCTAGGCAAAGAGGAAAAAGGATGTAAGAGCTCATTTCGTGGTATAAGGTAAGGGGTGTTGGTCCTTAGGTAGATAGAGAGGCAGTGAGATGGTAGTGTGGAGGGAAATGCGTGAGTGTGAAGAAAATACTTTGAGAAATGAAGAAAGATATGGAAGGAAACTGCCCAAACTCAAGAAAAAATCTCATAGGGTACTGGATTAGTAAACAGCAGGAAAGTTGGTAAAAAAAAGACGATAGAGGAAACTGAAGGAAAGTAGCAGAGGCAGTTAAAGTAAGAAAGTTAAAGTAAGAGAAAGAACCAATTAGAACAGAAAATTTGAGTAAATCACAAGGAACGAGACTGAACAAGTTACACAGAGGGACGGCCCGTCCACACAGGTGAACCAGGCACCTACCTAGGACGCCACGGAGACCGGGATACCAAATTCAAGAAAAAAAATAATGTTTAAACAAAAATTAACATACCAAATAATTAAGCCACTGCTTAGACAATAAACACTTTTAAATATTAAAAGAAAAAAATGGCATTATGTTTCCCCAGTCTAAGAAAACCTCAGCTTAGATCTTTGGGGTTCAGGGTGGCGGTCGCCGAATGAATGCTACCCCTGGGGTACGGGGTTCTCAGCCTGGGGTATGCATACCCCTAGATGCAAGCAAAGTATTTCAGGTAGTACGCGGGTTATTACAACCTCTTATATTATTGTTATCATCGATATTTTTTTTTATTTATTTTTAATATTTTATAGTCTATAGAACGCTGGGTAAAAAATAAACAAATTAAAAAAATAATAATTCTCTCTAATTTGTAGAAAGTTATTTTTTACGTCTGTAGAGAGGAGTGCGCTGGAGATATATGAAGCATCAGAAGGTAGACAAACACAGAAGTTTGGGAACAACTGTCCTAGAGTTTTAGGCGCTGGCAGTGTTACTCTCTGTGTTACTGTGTGTGTTACTGTATGTGCTACTGTGTTACTGTATATGTTACTGTATGTGCTACTGTGTTACTGTATGTCTTACTGTATGTGCTACTGTGTTACTGTATATGTTACTGTATGTGCTACTGTGTTACTGTATGTCTTACTGTGTGTGCTACTGTATGTATTACTGTATGTGCTGTGTTACTGTATATGTTACTGTGTGTGCTACTGTGTTACTGTATATATTACTGTATGTGCTACTGTGTTACTGTATATGTTACTGTGTGTGCTACTGTGTTACTGTATGTGTCACTGTATATGCTACTGTATGTGTTACTGTATGTGCTACTGTATGTGCTACTGTATGTGTTACTGTATGTGTCACTGTATGTGTTACTGTATGTGTCACTATGTGCTACTGTATGTGTTACTGTATGTGTCACTGTATATGTTACTGTATGTGTCACTGTATATGTTGTTGTATGTGTTACTGTATGTGTTACTGTAAGTGTTACTGTATGTGTTACTGAATGTTACTCTGTGTAGTCCCTGGCAAAAAGAAAGCAACACCACAAGGAGTGTAATTCATAATTCTTAACGAGACGACTAGTAAGCGTGGGAAGGGAAGGTTGGGGAAGGATAAGGAAATATAATAAGATAGTTTTGATGGTGGAAAGACAGCGAACAAGTTTGATAAAGTTGAGTGTTCATTTATTTTAATTTGAGATTGATGTTCGAAGGGATTTTTTGTGTTAATTAATAGGTATGTGTAGAAGTAGTAGTAGTAGGTACGTAGTAAAAGTAGGGGAAGGCATAGCTGAAGTAGGTGTTAGAGTGTAAGGAATAGTTAAAAATGTGGGAGAGGTAAGCGTAGTAGAATTAAAGTGTGGAAGTAGGTGTGGGCCGAAGTAGACATAGCTAGTTGGTGGGTGATTATAGTGAGTGTATAAGATTTCTTACCTGACATGAAGATGAAGGCAGTGCTGATACTCTCCTCCACAGGATAGGTGGCCTCCACCGCCAGCTCCAGACCTATGGGGTAAGCCCCAATCCCGAAGAATCCGAAGAGACCCATGAAGATTGCCAGCACGGCCGGCTGCCCGGGCACCATGAACATCTGTCACCAGGATTAGAGATTTTAGATTTTGCCACCGAAGTGGCTAGTTTATTGTTCACCCCTATATCCATCGTGTGGACGGTAGCGCAAGAGCATATGGATACACAAGAGGTCCTAGAAGGATTAACAAAAGTACATCTGAATTTATATCTACGGTTCACTTATCTGTTACAAGCAAATCCCAGGAGGAGCTCAAGATCAGTTGTTTCTAGCAAAACAAGCCGTCAGTTTAGACTTCAACGCGTCAAGCATAATATAGAGCCCCCAACACTCTTGTTTAGCGAGTCGTGCGTCTGTGTGTGTGTGTGTGTGTGTGTGTGTGTGTGTGTGTGTGTGTGTGTGTGTGTTTTGTGTGTGTGTGTGTGTTGGTGTGTGTGTGTGTGTGGTGTGTGGTGGTGCGTGGGTGTGGTGTGGGTTGGTATCCCCAAATTGTGGTTGCAGGGGTCGAGACTCGTCCTGGCCCCCCCCTTTCATGACCTATTTTGTTCCTCTTCTCTTTTTAGTTTTTGCCCCCCCCCCCCCCCCCCCCTTTTTGTTTGTAAAATTTTTGTGGTTTTTTGGTCTGTACTAAAAGTTTTTCCTAACACCCTGGCCCCGCTTTTCATTTCCCAAAAATTTTTTCCCCCTTGTTTTTGGTTTCTCCTTTGGGAAATTGCTTGTATGGGTTTCCCCGCCTTATTTTGTTTTGTTTTGTTTTTACCCTTTTCCAGGCCTCCGATTCCCCCCCAATTTCCAAACTTTTCCCTTTACTCCGGAACTAGCCTTTTTTTGCAAATTTGTACCCTTTTTCTTGGTGTTGCCGTTGGGGGTTTCCCCTGGTGTTTGAAATTCCGTTCTGACGTACGCAATTTTTTTTACATTTCCCCCCTTAAACTTCCTTCTAAAGTTGGGCGTCCCTTCATTTTCACCCCCCCATTTTGCCGCATTACCCGGTTGATTGCCCCTTTCCAAGACGGTTTTCGGTTTTTGGTCAAAGTCTTTCCCCGGGGGTGAGTTTTCAGCTTGTACACCTTACTCTATCGCGTTTTCTTTGCCCCTTTCCCCAATTTTCAACTTTCTTTGGGGGCAAAATGAGGCCGTGTGGACCCCGTTCCCCTGGAGTGAGGCGGGGATTTGGGGGATACTAATGACGGGCCTTAATCAGCCCCTGATGGCGGTAAATCGGAAAAGCGGGGTGCGGGCCACGTTTTTAAGCCCGGTCTCTTTGTAGCCCTGCCTAAAACCCATCCGTTTTTCCCTTCTCTTTAGCTTACTCATCTGCAAAACGGAACACTTCAGAGTCTACCCCTTTCCATCATGTCATTCAATACATCAAAAAAAACTGGTCCAGGACTGACCCCTGGGGGAAACCCCGCTTCACAGGGCCCACTTTTGAGACCTCTCACGTACCATGCCCCGTTGTTCCTCCCTGCCGGGTATTTTTTGATCTATTGCAGTGCCCTTTCTGTTATACGTCCCGATCCTCCGTTCTGCACAAATTCCCTGAAAAAGAACTTTGTCGAAGGTCTTCTTGCAGTCCAAGAAAATGAAAACAACCCACCCCTCTCTCTCGTTTCTTGTTCTTTTCCCTTTGTCAAAAAAACTCCAGAGGTTTGTGAAAGGATTTGACTTCCATGAATGTGTTTGCCCAGGTGCTCCCCCACTCTCCCCCCTGATAATCCCCCATGGCTTTGCATACTTCACGTAGGGGACAACTGGTTTTGTATTTGTCCCTCGTTTTGTTCCTTTCTTAAAAAGGGGACTACATTTGCCGTTTTCCCCTTCCCTTTTAGGTAGTTCCCGTTTCAAGGGGGTATTGTGTTGTGGTTGTGGTGCACGGTTCGCTCCCTTTCTAACTACCCCTGGGGAATATCAGTGTTTCCAGACCCCCCGCCTTTTAGGGGATCAAGGTCACTTGTAGCTTCTGCACCTTCCTTCCGTTGTTTATTCATCCCCGCACCTGTTGGTTTTCCCTGTTGATGTTCCCCCCGTGCTGTCTTCTCGGAGCCCTTTCCCGCTCTATGTAAAAAACTTTCTTAAAACTTTATGTTGATCCTCGATACATCGTGTGGGGTCGTTATTGTAGTTTCCCACCTTCTTTCCTCAGCTGATCACCTGGGCTTTGATTGGTCTTTTCCCCCTGTAGGATGACAGCAGTTTCGGGCGAGTTACTTTCGATGCAATGATTTTCTACTGTTGCTGGACCTCCTTCCTTTCCCTTTATACCCTTCGGCCCTTTGACTAATTCCCTTTTTTTCCTGTGTTCTTCGCCTTTGAAATTTTTCATGCTCTATTGCACTTGGTTTTTGCCTCCTTACACCGTGGGTAAACCAGGGGGGTCGCTCTGGTCTTCCCCCTTATTTCTGTTGCCCTTGGGGAAAAAACCTTTTCCTGTTGTGTGTGTGTGTGGTGTGTGTGTGGGGTGTGTGTGTGTTTGGCTGTGTGATTTAAAACTTTCTTATGGACACTTTTATTTGGGAGGTGGGAGCAAGTTTCAATTTTGACAACATTTCCTCTATTTATACTTGGCTAATCTCTCCTTTCATAGAGCCAAATGTCACATAAAAAACCTTCTTTCCGGTTTTTTCTTTATTATTGTCGACAATAAAATGTTGTATCCAGAAAACAAGTAAATTACAATTACCGACTCGCATGCAAAATTTTTGTTGAAAAAATTTTTGTGAAAAAATTTGTGCATTGTGAAAAGGGAAAATTTTTTTATTTCAATATTAAAAAAAAAAAAATTTGGGCCCCATCAGCAATGTGGTTATCTTTACTCTATATGACAGTTTTTCACACTGGAAATAAAAAACTTCCCTGCCATTTTCCCTTAAAAAGAATATTTTGTACTCAGGTGATGAAAAGGTCAAAATGAGTTTTATGACTTGGGACAGCCCGCTAGTGACGGGGCTGGAAAAAAATCCTTATCCCCTATGACCCGGTGATGTCTAGAAATAACAATATTAGAGTGTAACTCTCTCACGACGACGTGGACGTAGTAATTCAATACCCTTCTCTCTCCTTGATGCAGGTTCAACCCCCCTCGTACCCCTGCTCGCTTTCTTATTTACCAGATAAAAGTGTACAACCTCTTCTCATCCTGCCCTTGGCTCTGGGATCCGGATCTGTGAGACTACTCTCATATGTTATATCTGAAGCGCTAAACCGATGTGGATTATTAAGCGTAAGGTGTGGTTAGCGCTCGAACCTCCCTCCGCTAATTGTAAGACGAACCGAACCTCGCTAAAAGTTTCAGTCTCCAATGTGCTAGTTATTTGTGTATATACACTCAGCACAGAGTCTCACAGCTCAAGCTGACAGATGTCAACAACCTTGTATGAGCACCTTCCTGCGTGGTGAAATATGACAGGGAAAGAGCTTATTATTGTTCCCGCTATTTAACTATCATATCGAATGGTGTAGCAACACTGCTGATGTATTCAAATTTTGATGAAACGAGAACAGGCAAGGATAGCCCCAATCCCCTGGACAATTATTGGATCCGCTCCTGGTCTATGGGTACTCACACATTTGTTCTCACTTATTTGTCACAGATATACATAAACACATGAATTCAGGATACAGTGAGCTCTGTAGTGACTAAGGGAATGGCGGGGATAGGAACTGAGACTTGATACCTGCAACCACATATAGGTGAGAACATATAGATGTAAACACATATACATGCACACCTACACGATATACATTGTCTCTCTCTCTCTCTCTCTCTCTCTCTCTCTCTCTCTCTCTCTCTCTCTCTCTCTCTCTCTCTCTCTCTCTCTCTCTCTCTCTCTCTCTCTCTCTCACCTCCATCATGATGATATTGAAGATGGTGGCAATACCGTAGGAGATCTTGGTGATTGGAGTGAAGGCTTTGGTCCTGTCAGCCATGATTCCTGTCACTGCCGACCCCACGAAGCCACAAAGAATCATCACCCCATTTATAATGCCGCTGAAGACCTGCAAGAACACACAGAAGGATGAAAATTAAGGAGGAAGACGACAAGAAGGACGAGAAGGAGACAGTGTGACTCTGAGATTGTCGTTGTCGAGTCTGTTCACTGGAATGCGATCAGAGGAGTCAACTAACAAACAGGTACCTACTTACTGGCAAGTAAGCAAGGACAGAGAGTGTAAGGAGACTTGAGAAATGGTATGGTGATACCGGCAAAATGTGGAAAAATGCTCTTATTTACAGTTTAGGACGTTTATTATAGGAAACCTTTCACTACGAATGACTTCTTCAGTCCTGAACTGAAGAAGGCACTCGTGGCGAAACGTTGCCTATAATCAGGAGACTGGGATATACGTCCCTTCTACCTCGTAAATTAAACCTCAGAGAAAGAGTTAAGTCACACAGAGAGTAAGAAAAAAGAAAAAGAGGAAGAGGAATGGAGAGAAAGAGAGGGGACAGGAGGGATGAAACAGCCGCAGACTCCAAGGAAGCATGCAAGATTAATTGTAGTGCGGACCCCGTCTCTTTGATGTCTTTCCTTGAGTTCCACACGGGTGATGGGGAACACACCTAGGTCAGGGGGAGAGAAGGGGAATGGGTGAGGGAATGGAGAAAAAGAAGTGCTATTAAAGGTCTCGATGTTTGTGGGGTCTAGGGGAAAGGGGGAGAGAAACCATTGGGGGGAAAAAAAAGACTTTCACCTGGGAGAAAGAAAACCCCTTGTCGGGAAAAAACCCTCATTTTGGGGAGGGAAGGAAAGAAAACCCCTTTTTTTGGATGGGGGGGGGGGAAAGAGCTCGGGCAGGAAGGAAGAGAAAACCCTTTCCGGGGGGACGGGAAAATCATTTTGGGGTTTGCGTTGGGGAAAATGAGGAACTAAAAAGAAAATTTGGGTTACGGGGATGTGGGGGAAAACCCATTAGGGGATAAGTAGAGTGAGAGGGTCATTTTTATATGGATGGGTGATTTGGACGCCCCGTGACCAGTTTGGAGGATGGGGAAGCTGAAAAAACTTTTTGTTTTGGGAAATTCCTAAAAAATTAAAATTTTAAATTTGGTATCCAAATGTCGAATTACGAAAATAGTAAAAAAAAAGACACACGTTGTAAAAACGAACTTTTTCCAGGACAACGTTTTTCTGTGTGCGTTTCCCATCAAGCTATGATTTCCAAAGCTTACACAGTACGAAACGTTACCCCAAATAAAATTTAGTTCTTTTAAATTTGTTTTTTTCTCTTCACCGCCCCTAATATCATTCGGGGGATGTAGACTCAAACACCTTAATTTTTCGTCCAGAAAAAAAAAGAAATCCAGTCTAAAAATCTCCCTTTAAAAATTTAAAATTTAAATTCTAAATTTTTTAAAAAAGAAAAAGCGGAAGAAATTAGCCCCCCTACTCAAACTTCAGAAAGTAAAAATATTTTTAAATATCTTATGTGGGTGGGGTTTTGCCCTTTAGGCAAGACAGCAATCAGAAGGGGAAAAAAAAATTTATAAAAAATTTTAGTTTTACACTTTTTTTTCGCTTTTTACAAGTTGATTAAAATGCGTTCTTAGCTGACACTTTGGGCATTTTAGCACTGGGAAATAGGGGAAACAAAAATCATGTTGTGTCCCTTTTTTTGGGAGTTAGGTGCACATTATTGCCCACACTTTGGAAACAAAAAGTACTTGTTTAAATCTTTACTTAGGGGTTTCCCTAAAAAATTTATTTTATTATTATTATTATTATTATTTGTTGTAGTAGTAGTAGTAGTAGTAGTAGTAGTAATAGCATTTGTAGTAGTTTTTGGGCGTATTTAGAGTAATACATTTTAGTAGTAGGCCCGGCTTTTTTGGTTTTGGAGTTTAAAAAGTCAGTCAAATTACAGGGGGGTTTATTTAAGCTGCTTTACCCTTTTTTCCCAAAAAAGGGAAATTTAAAATTTAAACTTCGGGGCATATATAGACACTTAAACTCGCGGGTATATCTTAGGGAATTTTTTATTTTTTTTATTTTTTTTTTTTTTTTAAATTATTATTATTATTTTTATTATTATAGTTATGCACTGACGTCGCTGTATCCCGGGAGGACAGAGGGTGTTGGGTAAAAGGTAGAGTGGAGTTTAAAGAGTCCTTTTCCACATCCTAGAGACAGAAAGGAGCGGAGGTAAGGTACACAGGAAAGGGTTTCCCCTTTTAGTGCTGCAGGTAAGGGGCTCGGGTTCTCTCTCTCCTGTTGGCACCCCTTGGCTGGGGCCCCGTACGTGGCTTCGTTTGGGGTGGAGTTCCCTAGCATTAGTCCGGTTTGGAGCGTTGTGTACTCCAAATTTTTTAGTCATTTGGGGCTTGGGACAGGGACATACATTTTTTTTAACAATGGTCTTGAGGGAACACAGATGTTGGTTGGTTGGTTAATGGGGTTTTTAAGTCTATTTACTAACGAGGATTATTATGGCTGCAGGGGAAACCCTGTTCACCCCCATTTCCCCAAAACGTGAAATCCCTTCAATGCGTTTAAAAAGTAAGTTCTCGCATATTTTACAATGAAAAAATTATATTCCTGCCACAGTATTATGGGTTTTTTAAAAAATTTAAAAACGTAACATAAACCCAGTGAAGTCCCCTGTGACTTATTTCCTTTGGGGGTCACTGTTTTTGCTTTTTGTTCTTTTAAATTCGTGATTTTCGTTTTCTCAGGGGTTTGTTTTCTTTTAAAATTTTGTGGCATTTTCCTTTTCGTCTTTTTTTTAAATTTCCCCAAATTTTATTTCGTCAATCTTTTTGAATTTTTTGGGAAACCGTTTCTCTCCCCTGGTCACACCCCGTTTCCCAACCCGTTGTAGTGTTGTTTCTCAAACCCTCTTACCTTTCCCTTTATCATGATTTTGCCCCAGTTTTGTGTGTGTGGGGGTACTCACCCTTTTTTGGTTTTTCAGGGGGGAGTCCTAGCTCCTGGCCCCGCCCGTGTGTGTGTGTGTTTTGTGTGTGCGTTTTCAGGGGTCGAGACTCAGCTCCCGGCCCCCCCTCTTTTACCCACCGCTACTAGGTCCTCTCTCCCCCGCTCCATGAGCTTTAAACATACCTCGTCTTAAAAAATACGTTTTGTTCCCGCCCCCACTTAAAAATCGGCTTGCCCGATTTACGCTTCCCAACTATCTAAGACTGAAGAAATTTCTTCCTTTAAAATCCCCTTTGGGGCATCTGAGTTTCGTTTCCAATTGTGGCCCTTGTTTCTGGGGTTTCCCCTCTCTGGAACTTTCCCGTCTCGTCCCCCTTGTTATTCCACGCGTATTTTGTATGTCGTTATAATGTCTCCTTGGGCCCTCCTGTTCTCCCCGTGTTGTCCAAGACCCATTTCAAATTAACCTTTCTTCTTTGGACATTCCCCCTTTGCTCTGGAAAAATAGCCTTGGTTTCAAACCCCTTTTCACTTTCTTTAATTTTTTTGACGTGTTTGACCAGGTGGGGGGTTTTCCCAAAATGGGGCTGGGGTACTCCCGTATGGGGGCCCGACGTAAACGGGGTAAGGTCGTGAAAAAGATTTTCCCTTTTGAGGTACCCCGGAAAAGTATTCTCAGGGTTTTCCAAGAAACCCCTTTTGCCCCAGGTTATCGGGGTTTTTGTTTTGCTTTTTGGCGATGTACTCGGTATTATATCCGGGGATTATACTTTTCCCTTTAGTGAGGTTTGCAGCCCTTTTTGGGTCCTAGCTTTCTCTGTCTGCATTTTTTCTTTGGCTCCCCCCGAAACCCCCCCTGACTTTGCATTTGTGTGTGTGTGGTGTACCACCTTTTGTACTCACCTATTTGTGGTTGAAAGGGCGGGGGTTTTAAACTCCTGGCCCCCCTCTTTACCGGTTGCTACTAGACCCTCTCTTTCCCCCCTCCCTGAGGGTTTATTTAAACCTGTTTTTAAAAATGTGTATGGTTCCTTTCCCACTACGTCATTTTCTAGGCTATTCCCCCTGCCTTACAACTCTATGACTGAAGAAATACTTCCTACTTTCTCTCTGATCATTTGTGTCTTAACTTCCAATTTTGGCCCCCTTGTTTCTGTGTCCCCCCCCCTGGAACATCCTGTCCCTTTTCAAATTGTCTATTCCAAGCAGTATTTTTATGTCGTTATCATGTCTCCCTGACCCTCCTGTCCTCCAGTGTCGTTTAGGCCCATTTTCCCCTTTTCCCTTTTTAAAAGGAAATTCCCCCCGGGTCTTGGGAAATAACCTTTTTGCAAAACCTTTGTTTCCTTTCTTAGTTTCTTTTACTTCTTTATCAAGGCGGGTTCCAAACAGGTGCTGCATACTCCCGTTGGGGGGCCCGACATTTCCGGTGTCAGTTTTCTTTAATGATTCCTTACTAAAGGGGTCGGAAAGCTGTTCTCAGGTTTTCCCGGGCCCCTTTTGGGTTTCAAACGTTATTTGATTTTGTGGCTTGGGGGGAATGCTCGGTGTTATTCTCCCCCCGATCTTTTTTCCTTGAAATGAGGGGTTTTCAGGGCTTTTGGCCCCCCTTGCCTTTTACTCTGTTTTTGTTTGGTCTTCTGTGCCCTTCCCCCATCTTAAAGCTTTTCATTTGGCCCCGGATTAAATTTTGAGAAGCCATTTGCTGGAAACCCGGGGGTCCAGTTGTCAAAGGGCTCTTTGAAGTCCTGCCTGGTCCTTTATCGATTTAATTCTCTCATTAAATTCACTTTATCTGCAAAAGGGACACTTCTGAGTCTAACCCTTCCGTATTCTTTTTTTCACTTATACCAAAAATTTGCACGGTCCTAGGGCCCCCTGTGGGACCCGTGTCACAGGTCCCCACTTGATCATCTTACGTACCATGCTCGTTTTTGCCTCCCTGTCAGGATTCTTGATCCATTGCAGTGCCCCTTCCTGTTATATGCGCCGATGCTTTTGCTTCTGCACTATTCTTAAAAAGGAACTGTTAAAAGGCCCCTTCTTGCAGTCCAAGAAGATGCAATAAACCCCCCCCTCCTCTCTTGTTTACTTTGTTTTTTTTTCAAAACTCCGAGGTTTGTGACCAGGATTTGCCTTCCGTGAATCCGTGGGTTGGATTTAAAACCCTCCTGTTCCATTCCGGGTGCTCCCCACTTCCCTGAAAATCTTCTCCATAATTTTGCTTATATACACTTTCAATGACACGGTCTATAGTTTAGTGCTTTTTTCTGTCTTTTTTTTGAAAATGGGAAATACATTTGCCGTCCCCCCATACCTCAGGTAGTTGCCCTTTTCCAGGGTTTTTTGAAGTTGTGGTAAGGGTACGCACCTATCTGCTCCCTTCTAAGGCCCCGGAGAGTTTGTTGTCCGGTCCATTCCCCTTTGGGTTCGATGTCCTTAGAGTTTCTTCCCCTCCTCCTTCTTTTTGTTGTGTCCAACACTTGTTGGTGTATTCCTTTTTGGTGTCCCCTCGGGTCTGCCCCCCAGGCCCTTCCTGTCTCTATGTAAATATTTCCTTAAATCTGTGTTGAGTCCTCATCCTCTTGATATTTTCTTTGTGAGTTCTCCACCTTCTTTCCCTCAGCCTTATCACCTGGTCCTTGACTGTTGTCTTCTTCCTAATTGGCTATACGCTTTTGGGTCGATTGGGACTTTCGTGTTTATGTCTTTTTCATACTGTCTCGGGGCCCCCCCCTTTTTTCTGCGCATACTTTTTTTGGGCTTCTTCTACTAATCCCCTTTTTTTCCGGGGTTATGCCCCTGTACCTTTTCCATTCTCGTTCCCCTTAGCTTTTGCCTCCCTACACCTTGGGTAAACAAGGATGTCTTGGTTTCTATTATTTCTTTTTCCCCTTGGGAAAAAAATTTTCCCTGCCTCCTTGCACTTTGTTGCCACATTTCCAATCTCGTTTTACTGATTTTCTACCTTTTTCTCGCCCCACTAACCTCCTGCGGGAAATTTTTCCCTACTGTTAGTCCCCCTTTTTTTTTGGGCCCTGTCCCTTCATTTCCCTGTTATTTCCACTTGTAACTCTACTATATAGTCAAAACTCAAAACCCCACATGTCGCTAGCCCCAAGGGGCCTTCGTAAGTGATGCCCTCGGTTGAAGCTCGGGTGAACACAAGATCCAGTTTTTGGTGGCTCATTCCCCCTCTCTGGTTTGTGTCCCTGACATGTTGTGCATGAGGTTTTAAGTAACTCCTCTTTTTGTCCCCATGTTTGGGGACCCCATGTGGCTCCGGGGTTTTCCCAGCGATCTCCCTGTGGTTGAAATCGCCCCTTACAGTAAATTTTCTTGCCGAGTGGCTTTCTTGCCCCCTCAGCCCGTGTGTCCACCTCACCCCGTTTTTTTTTCGTACTCCCTCTCTTGGCCCCCTGCAGTTCTGGGTGGGTTATCTCATCAATGGGTACTTTATGTTTCCGGACTGAAATTTTACCCAAATGTGTCTTTTCTCCAATCATGTCTTTCCTTCATTTCCTAAACCCCCCATTGGTGTTTTATGAGCAGTGCAACCCCTCCTCCCCCCCTATCCCTTTATCTTTCCTCAGGATTGATATCTGTTGGGGAAGTTGTGTCTGTTATTTCTCAGCGGTTTTGTTTCTGTACTGCTATGATGTCTGGGGGTTTTTCATGATTCTTTCATTTCCCCTCCTCATGTTTATTCATTTTCCCTCCGCATTTGTGTAAACCTTTAGTTTCTTTTTATCTTTTTGGTCATGCAAGTATATTGGGGTTTGGGGGGGGGAGGCCTTTGGGGGGGGCCCTTTTGGGGTGTGGTGTAGGTGGGGTATGTGTTTTGGGGGTGGGGTCGAAGCCCTAAAAGGGAAGTGTTGGGGTGAGGTTTGTGATTGGGGGTTGGTGGCAGAGGGAACAGTGAGGGGTTGGAGTATAGGTTTCCGTTGCGTTGGGGAAATTTGCGGGGGGGGTCTTTTGGTGGGAGATTCTGTGGGGTGTGTTTGCCCTTCCTCCTGTGTTGGGTCCTGCTCTTTTCATTGTTTTTGTTCCTTTGCGTCTCTGTACCCTCTCTTTCAGTGTGTCCTTTCTTTTGTGTTCTGTGCGGTCGGGTATACTCTCTGGTTTCCCCTCTTTTTCTTCCGTCTTGCTTTCTCTTGAGAATCCTGTTGAAAAAATTCTTCCTGAAAGTTACTCTGACAGGCCGATCCTTCCCCCCCGCCCCAAAAACCCCAAATTTTCTGAAAATTTGGAACCTGGGTCATTTGCCCCCCCCTTTGTTTTTTTGATGCCTTCAATATTTTTTTTCTCTGTTTTATTTTTTAAAAGTTGGCCCCCTTGGGTTCTTGGAGCCCGTACACAAAAACTGACCTCGCCCTTTCCTCCTCCCATGAGTCTCATCTGCTTCCTTTAGGCTTTTGTTTTTCCTTTTTTGAATGTTCTTGCCTTAGTCCCCGATATCTGAAACATCTATTCTCGTGGATGTCTTTCCCGGCCAGTGTCCCTTCTACTGCAGTTGGCGTTAGAAAACCCCTTGCATTAAAAACCTTCATTTTTTCGGACTGTGCTTGATCTTGTGTGTATCGTTTTTTCCCCGGCCCACGTGGGGTTTAAGGTCCTTCGTTACGGATGTCTCCGTTTTTGCTTTCCATCCCCTTTTCTCGCCTGATTGAATTTTTTTATTGTCTTTAGACCTGTCGTTTGATTCAGGTGCTCGTCGTTTTTCCCTGGCCCCCCGTGGGTTGATAGGGCCTTCCTGTACGGCATGTCTCCCTTGTTGCTTACCACCCCTTGTCTCGCCCCGCTTGAATTTTCCTGATGTCCGTCTGAATTTTTATTTGTCTCTCTAAATTTTTTGGCTTTGCAGTTTTCTTCTAAACACTGTTTCCCAGCTTCTGTGCTAAGGCCTTTCTTCCCACTTCCCGCACTTTCAGCTTCGCTCCTCCCTTTTCTTACCAAACTCTATATCTTCCTTCCCCCCTTCCCCCCTTTTTTTGGGGCTCTAACTCCCCGTCTTTCCTCCCTGGTTCTTTACCGATCTCTGGTTTTCCGCCTCTAAGGCCAACCCCTATTTTTTTTTTTTTTTTGTTGCCCCAGCAGAAAGGGTAGAGGAGGGGGGAGGTGTGGGGGGAGAGAAAGGGTTTTGGAGAGAGGAGGAGAAAGGGTAGAAAAAGGGGAGAGAGGAGAGGAAGGGTAGAAAGGGGAGAGAAAGGAGGAGTATAGGGGTGAGGGATAAAAACCAAGGGGGGAGAGAGAAAAGTGAGGGGGGGGAAAGGGGGTAGAGAGAGGGAGAAAAAGGGGGAGGGGAGAGGGAGAGAAGGAGAGGGGGAAAGGAGGGCGAGGAAAAGGCTATGAGAGAGAGAAATGGAAGGAGATGGAGAGAGGAGCCTTAGAGAGAGAGGGGGGGGGTTTGGGTTTTGGGTGGGGGGGGAGGGAGAGAGGAGGAGAGGAGGGGAGAGAGAGGGAAGGGGGGAGAAAAAGGGAGGGGAGAGAGAGGAGAGAAGGGGGGGAGAGGGGGAGAAAGGGGGAGAGAGAGGGGAGAAGAGGGGAGAAAAAGAGAGGGAGAGAGTTTCCCCCTTCCCTTTTTTCCTCTTTTACCAAACTAAAGTATTATCAAATTAAAAAAAAGGTTCTCAAGTACAGTTACTCAGCCAGTGTAAGTATTCAGTGCTACTATACCGTATTTGCCACATATATTTAAATAATACGTATATACTTTTATCTACATATAAAGTAATACAAACTCTCAACTACACATACTGTAGAAAAGTAATACTATCAACTACATATAGTTAGTATTATCAGCTACATATAGTTACTACTGTCAGTTACATTTAGTTAACACTATCAGCTATATATAGTTATGTAATACGTATTATAATTATTTATTCAATCAGTAGTCTTGCCAAAAAATGAGAAGGAATTTAAGGTGGAATAATGAGGAAGCTGAATCAATGTTGCTAAACTCTAACAATCTGGATATTAAAACGCTTTAACTTATATATATTTGTTAATTGCTTTCGAAAAGGAAAATTAGTGGCTGGGATGTGGTCTGCAAGTGGCTGTCTTGTATTAAGTGTTATTTTGTTATAACAGTGAAAAAATAATTAACAGTGTTGATCAGGAAAATGTAATGCAAGCAAATATGCCACTGTTAAATTATCACCTCTTACATTTCTTCTTTTTCCTGCCTTCACTCGGATTCTCCCACCACATCTCCGATTTCTCTCTTCCTTTCATTATTTCCCCTTACGCTTTCCAGTGCGTTGTGTGACTTCACCTGGTAACGGAGACGAGGGTGATCAACTGGGTGAAGACTGCCATGCCACAGTAGACGTAATTAAGAATGGGCAAGGTGGAGTACTTAATCAGTATTGGTGAGAGCACCTGTGCCACCACCACTCCCAGAGGGTTGGCTGTAGAAGGAGACAAGAGAGTGAGGTCTTGCTGGAGGGACGCAGAGGATAAAGAGGGACATAGGCGGTGGTGGAAGACAGGGAGGGTGGGGGGTGGCCAGGAGGGAGTGTGGGGGAAGACCAGCAGGGAGTGTGGGGAAGGCCAGCAGGGAGTGTGGGGGAGGCCAGCAGGGAGTGTGAGGGAGGCCAGCAGGGACTGTGGGTAGCCAAGAGAGAGAGTGGGGGAGGCCAAGAGGGAGTGTGGGAGAGGCCAGCAGGCAGTGTGGGGGAAGCCAGCAGGTTGTGTGGGGGAGAGGCTAGCAGAGAGTGTGGATGGTCAGGAGGGACGGTGGGTGAGGCCAGCAGGGAGTGTAGGGGGTGGCCAGGAGGGAGTATGGGGAGGCCAGCAGGGAGATGGGGGAGGCCAGCAAGGGAGTGTGGGGGGGCCAACAGGGAGTGTGGGGGGTGACCAGGAGGGAGTGTGGGGAAGGCCAGCAGGGAGTGGTGGGGGAGGCCAGCAGGGAGTGTGGGGGAGGCCAGCAGGGAGTATGGGGGAGGCCAGCAGGAAGTGTGGGGAAAGGCCAGCAGGAGGTGTGGGGGGAGGCCAGCAGGGAGTGTGGGGGGAGGCCAGCAGGGATGTTTAGGGGAGGCAAGCAGGGAGTGTGGGGGAGGCCAGCAGGGAGTGTCGGGAAGCAAGCAGGGAGTGTGGGAGGAGGCCAGCAGGAAGTGTGGGGAGGCCAGCAGGGAGTGTGGTGGAGGCCAGCAGGGAGTGTAGGGGGTGGCCAGGAGGAAGTGTGCGGGAGGCTAGCAGGCAGTGTGGGGAAGGCCAGCAGGGAGTGTGGAGGAGGCCAGCAGGGAGCGTGGGGAAGGTCAGCAGGGAGTGTGGGAGGAGACCAGCAGGAAGTGTGGGGAGGCCAGCAGGGAGTGTGAGGAAGGCCAGCAGGGAATGTGGGGGAGGCCAGCAGGGAGTGTAGGGGAAGGCCAGCAGGTGTGGGGGGAGGCCAGCAGGGAGTGTGGGGGAGGCAAGCAGGGAGTGTGAGGGAGGCCAGCAGGGAGTGTAGGAGAGGCAAGCAGGGAGTGTGGGGGAGGTCAGCAGGGAGTGTGGGGGAGGCCAGCAGGGAGTGTGGGGAGAGGCCAGCAAGGAATGTGGGGAGAAGCCAGCAGGGAGTGTGGGGGAGGCCAGTAGGGAGTGTGGGGGAGGCAGCAGGGAGTGTGGGGGAGGCCAGCAGGGAGTGTGGAGGAGGCCAGCAGGGAGCGTGGGGAAGGTCAGCAGGGAGTGTGGGAGGAGGCCAGCAGTAAGTGTGGGGAGGCCAGCAGGGAGTGTGAGGAAGGCCAGCAGGGAGTGTGGGGGAGGCCAGCAGGGAGTGTAGGGAAAGGCCAGCAGGTGTGGGGGGAGGCCAGCAGGGAGTGTGGTGGAGGCAAGCAGGGAGTGTGAGGGAGGCCAGCAGGGAGTGTAGGAGAGGCAAGCAGGGAGTGTGGGGGAGGTCAGCAGGGAGTGTGGGGGGAGGCCAGCATAGGAGTGTAGGGGAGGCCAGCGGGAGTGTGGGGAGAGGCCAGCAGGGAATGTGGAGAGAAGCCAGCAGGGAGTGTGGGGGAGGCCAGTAGGGAGTGTGGGGGAGGCAGCAGGGAGTGTGGGGGAGGCCAGCAGGGAGTGTGGGGGGAGGCCGGCAAGGAGTGTGGGGGAGGCCAGCAGGGAGTGTGGGGAGAGGCCAGCAGGGAATGTGGGGAGAAGCCAGCAGGGAGTGTGGGGGAGGCCAGTAGGGAGTGTGGGGGAGGCAGCAGGGAGTGTGGGGGAGGCCAGCAGGGAGTGTGGGAGGAGGCCAGCAGGAAGTGTGGGGAGGCCAGCAGGGAGTGTGAGGAAGGCCAGCAGGGAGTGTGGGGGAGGCCAGCAGGGAGTGTAGGGGAAGGCCAGCAGGTGTGGGGGAGGCCAGTAGGGAGTGTGGGGGAGGCAAGCAGGGAGTGTGAGGGAGGCCAGCAGGGAGTGTAGGAGAGGCAAGCAGGGAGTGTGGGGAGGTCAGCAGGGAGTGTGGGGGGAGGCCAGCAAGGAGTGTGAGGAAGGCCAAGCAGGGAATGTGGGGGAGGCCAGCAGGGAGTGTAGGGGAAGGCCAGCAGGTGTGGGGGGAGGCCAGCAGGGAGTGTGGGGGAGGCAAGCAGGGAGTGTGGGGGAGGCCAGCAGGGAGTGTAGGAGAGGCAAGCAGGGAGTGTGGGGAGGTCAGCAGGGAGTGTGGGGGGAGGCCAGCAAGGAGTGTGAGGAAGGCCAGCAGGGAATGTGGGGGAGGCCAGCAGGGAGTGTAGGGGAAGGCCAGCAGGTGTGGGGGGGGCCAGCAGGGAGTGTGGGGGAGGCAAGCAGGGAGTGTGAGGGAGGCCAGCAGGGAGTGTAGGAGAGGCAAGCAGGGAGTGGGGGGAGGTCAGCAGGGAGTGTGGGGGGAGGCCAGCAAGGAGTGTGGGGGAGGCCAGCAGGGAGTGTGGGGAGAGGCCAGCAGGGAATGTGGGGAGAAGCCAGCAGGGAGTGTGGGGGGAGGCCAGTAGGGAGTGTGGGGGGGCAGCAGGGAGTGTGGGGGAGGCCAGCAGGGAGTGTGGAGGAGGCCAGCAGGGAGCGTGGGGAAGGTCAGCAGGGAGTGTGGGGAGGAGGCCAGCGGAAGTGTGGGGAGGCCAGCAGGGAGTGTGAGGAAGGCCAGCAGGGAGTGTGGGGGAGGCCAGCAGGGAGTGTAGGGAAGGCCAGCAGGTGTGGGGGAGGCCAGCAGGGAGTGTGGGGGAGGCAAGCAGGGAGTGTGAGGGAGGCCAGCAGGGAGTGTAGGAGAGGCAAGCGGGAGTGTGGGGGAGGTCAGCAGGGAGTGTGGGGGGAGGCAGCAAGGAGTGTGGGGGAGGCCAGCAGGGAGTGTGGGGAGAGGCCAGCAGGGAATGTGGGGAGAAGCCAGCAGGGAGTGTAGGGGGGCCAGTAGGGAGTGTGGGGGAGGCAGCAGGGAGTGTGGGGGAGGCCAGCAGGGAGTGAGGGGGAGGCCAGCAGGCAGTGTGGGGGGAGGCTAGCAGGGAGTGTGGGTGGCCAGGAGGGAGTGTGGGGGAGGTCAGCAGCAGTGTGGGGGGAGGCTAGCAGGGAGTGTGGGAGGCCAGCGGGAGTGTGGGGGAGGCCAGCAGGGAGTGCGGGGGAGGCCAGCAGGGAGTGTGGGAGGAGGCCAGCAGGAAGTGTGGGGGAGGCCAGCAGGGAGTGCGGGGGGGGCCAGAAGGGAGTGTGGGGAAGGCCAGCAGGGAGTGTGGGAGGAGGCCAGCAGGGAGTGTGGGGAGGCCAGAAGGGAGTGTGGGGAAGGCAAGCAGGGAGTGTGGTGGGGGCCAGCAGTGTGTATGGGGGAAGGCCAGCAGGGAGTGTAAGGGGTGGCCAGGAGGAAGTGTGCGGGAGGCCAGCAGTTAGTGTGAGAGAGGCAAGAAGGGAGTGTGTGGAGGCCAGCAGGGAGTGTGGGGGGAGGCAGCAGGGAGTGTGAGGGGAGGCCAGCAGGGAGTATGGGGGAAGGCCAGCTGGGAGTGTGGGGGAGGTCAGCAGGAATTGTGAGGGGAGGCCAGCAGGGAGTGTGAGGGAAGGCCAGCAGGGAGTGTAATGAGAGGCCGCCAGGGAGTGTGGGGGAGGCCAGCAGGGAGTGTGGGGGAAGGCCAGCAGGAAGTGTGAGGGGAGGCCAGCAGGGATGTGTGGGGGGGAGGCCAGCAGTGAGTGTGGAGGGAGGCCAGCAGGGGGTGTGGGGGAGGCCAGGAGGGAGTGTGGGGGGAGGCCAGCAGGGAGTGTGGGGGAGGGCCAGCAGGGAGTGTGGGGGGCTAGGAGGGAGTGTGGGGGGGAGGCCAGCAGGGAGTGGGGGAGGCCAGGAGGGAGTGTGGGGGAGGCCAGGAGTGAGTGTGGGTGGAGGCCAGGAGTGTGGGGGCAGGCCAGCAGGGAGTGTGGGGGGAGGCCAGCAGGGAGTGTGGGGGAGGCCAGGAGTGAGTGTGGGGGGAGCCAAGAGGGGAGTGTGGGGGAGGCCAAGATGGGTGTGGGGGAGGGCCAGGAGTGTGGGGGCAGGCCAGCAGGGAGTGTGGGGGGTGGCCAGAAGGAAGTGTGGGGGGAGGCCAAGAGGGAGTGTGGGGGCACGTTAGCAGAGAGTGTGGGGGAGGCCAGGAGTGAGTGTGGGGGAGACCAAGAGGGAGTGTGGGGGAGGCCAAGAGGGAGTGTGGGGGGAGGCCAGCAGGGAGCTCTCAGAATGGTGTCATTGTGATTAGATTTTTAGATTTTTGCTGACGTTCATTGTGCTCTTATGCCACCATCCACAGGATGGTATCACAAGAGCATCTGGATACAAAAAAAAAAAAAGGCCTAGGAGCCACGGCTCCCCAATATAATATAGCTAATGTGTGCTTTTAACTATTACAAACTAAATTAGGTATTTTGCGTTGAAATGTCTAGTGTCTTATTTTTATTAGTAACATACCTCGGAATATCACATAATTTACAAATGCAGAAAAAATATTATAATTAATAATTACCTTCCACATTATTTTTCAAGTCAGCAGAAGTTACATCCACAGACAGCTTAATTAGCTCCGATTTCTGGGGGAGGTTGCACACATGTTTGGGGGAGCTACCGGGCTCCTTGGCTTCGAACTATAGACCAATAATACACAAATAACCCGCACATAAAAGAGAGAAGCTTACGACGACGTTTCGGTCCGACTTGGACCATTTACAAAGTCACACTAATCAGAAGTGGAGCAGGACGGCTATATATAGGCAGGAAGAGGTGGAGGTGTAGTAGTAGTAGTAGCACAAGAATGGTATATAATACCGACAAGATGAAATTAAGACACATGCGCAACACCCGGGCATCCCTATCGTAGACGTTTCGCCATCCAGCCAGCCACTGGATGGCGAAACATCTACAACAAAGACACCCAGATGCCGCACATGTGTCTTAATTTCATCAGTAGTAGTAGTAGTAGAAGAGGTAGTAGTAGTGGTAGTGGTAGAAGTGGGGAATAGGTAGGACGAGCCAGTCAAATACAAAGGA